TTCGGCACTAGTTGGAGTTGAATTGTCAGCTTCACGCCCTTGCCGCTTTACCCCCGGGGAAAGAACTTCCGGTGCCCTTTGGATAGGACGTTGGGTGGACCCCAGAGCCAGTGTGGAATACATGGAGAAGAGAAAATTCTTGCCCCCACCTGGAATCAAACTCCGACCCCTCGGTCGTCCAGTCGCTCTATCGACTGCGCTACCCCGGCTCCTGTTATACACACTGGGAATGGAAATTAATTTAATGGTGCAAGGTATTTATTCACAAGTTTATTTTGTAATTGCCCAGTTTTCAAGAAATTCGATGATATTTATGCCACTAGAAAGTCTCACAAACGAACTACTACTGCGCCCTATCACATGCCAGTTGTATCCAGTTCACACTCATTCACCCTATCCCTGTAGATTAATTTTAATATCATCCTGATTTTCATGCCTAGGTCTCAGAAATATCAATTTTCCAAATAAAGATTAATATGCACTTTTCATCGTATCACATGGCTTGCCCATCTCATCTTCTCTAATTGTGTCGCCCTAGTGACGTTTTGGAGTACCATAGATTTGTGAGAAATCGAGGCTTCCAAACTCTCTAGAAAGTTGGCTCATAGATGGCGGTCAGGTTGTCAGCCTTATGCACCGGCCGCCCTTTACCCGCAGAAAGATTCCTGGTACTCATTTCTGTTGGGAGGATTAGGTCATTTGAAAAATCCAAAGACCTCATCGGAAATAGAGCACGCGATCTTCCGGCTTCTAGCATACTGCCTAAGTCAATTACGCTATAAATTATAAATTATGAAGCTCCTTGTTATGTATATCTTTCCATCTTCCTGTTACTTCCTTTCGTGCATGTCTCTTTATTTTCAGTAGCAATTAGTTCTAGACCAATGAGTTTTCGACTGCTTGAAAATTCAGGCAAACTAACTTAAGTCTAATCGACTATTACATGTCAGTGAAAGCTGTCCTAGCACTTTCTAGGACAAGGAGCAATGAAAGCAAAGATCTTGAGACAGTGGCTTGCTTATTGAGGATTTTATTCCGCATTGTGATTTTAACAACTTAGAAAAAAATATTTAACATCATGCCAAGTACATTTGGGGCACGCGTTAGCGTAGTTGGTTGAGCACTATGCTACAAGCTGGAAAGTCGCGGGTTCGAGTCCCAATGAAGTGGATTTTTTTCAGTATACCTAATCATTCCAGCCGCACTATAGCCCTGGGGTCGACTCAGCCTCTAACAGAAATGAGTACCAGGAAACTTCCTGGGGATAAAGGGCAGCCGGCCAGCTCGTAAGGCTGACAACCTTACCGCCATCTGTGAGCCGATTTTCTAGAGAAAATGTGGAACCCTCGACGTCTCACAACCCTATGGGCCTTCACGGCCTGTTACAGGGATAGCTTTACCTCTGCCAGGTACAGCTGTGCCATGAATTTTGGCTCTCGCATCAGAAAATCTTCTACCCTTAGTAAATTTGACAAGAAAAACAATTGTCTCGAAGATGAAAAAAAAATCTATCTCCTTGGATATAACACCATGTAATCCGATGAAAGTCAACAGATACTTCGGAACAACATATCGCATACATATTCATGGTCGAAGAATAAGGCAAACAAGTTAACAGCATGTGGAAACGACATTTTTTTTTCAAAAGTATTGTTTGATTTTCACTATGTTACTCGGAGTTATAATGACCTTAGTCAGAACCTCAAATCCAACAAAACTTTATCGATATTGAAGAAAGCAGTCTTCTGGGATTTGGCACCGTGTGTATGTGGTGTTACCGACGTTTCGGAGGAACGTATCGCCTCCATCTTCTGGGTAGAAGGAAAAATATAAGAAATCCGCACGCGAAGAGACCGTGAGAACCGGTAAAAGCAGTCTGCTTTCTTTATAGTCACCGCCGTGAAAGCCTCAAATCTTTATCGATATTGTCCAGAGGAAAGAATATGTAATACTAAACCTACACCACTTCCAACAGGAGTCTTATCTCAGAGTTTGTGTCCTAGAGGAAATAAACTTCGATAATCCTGAATACAGGACCGGAATAGCATACTGATGTCTGCGCAACCCACATCGGTGTTACAGGTTATGTTAAAATTTACATATAAGTGAATATGTGAGAACTTATCTGACCCAGGTCGCAATATAAATACCTGTTGATTTATGTTCCTATCGTTTGGATAAACAATGTAGTAGAAAATTATGGCAATTTCCGAGTTTGCAATAGATAATTCAAAACGGACGTCTTGCAATGATTCAACAGCTGGAGAGGACATTTTAAATGATGCCTTTCTTCAAATTCCCAAGATCTACGAAATGACAGTATAGTTTTTGTGCTTAAATTTTCTCATGGCCTTTTCTTATTCACCTTGTGACCTTTCAATAGAGAAAGGTCATCTTTGAATCACATTCATTACCTCTGCTTTAGTTGAAGAGGACATGAAAAGAAAGACAAATCAGTGTTGTCTGATTCAGCGGAAGTAATGCAGCAAATACGACTTACTTTTGCTTGCAAGCACAGCAGCTCTGTGACACACTGAGACCTTGAAAAAGTCGTCATGTGTACTTGGCACCTTCGAATCGTTTATCCTATGTTTATCTGCTCCTGTCTTTTAATTGTGCAATTTATGCTGAACTTATCCACATTTGGGTTATCAAATTAAGAAGGACGGGTGTGACTCCACGCAATACTCATGACAGACATGAGAAGTGCATGCAGAAATATAGACCTACAGCCTGAAGCTAAGACCTGGTCGTAAATACGAGGATAATATTAAAATGGTAAGATAAAGGTGCATAATAGCACCACGTCATGAAGACTTACGGGGATTCGAGGTATAATTCCACGCATACTCAGCCTCGGCATTTGATGGAGGTGAATGGTCGGCTTTACGTCCCGCCCTCTTCCCACACAACAAAAAATCCTGGTACCCACTGTATCGAAAACTGAGTGGGTTTAAGGGCCGCTCTGGACGCTGTGGAGGGAATAAAAATCTCATTTCCCCGCACAAAATCGTGCCCCAATTCTACGGTCGAATCATAGTCGCTATATCACTAAACCATTTCCGTTCCAATATCGAATTTGACTTTAAGGAAGTAGGAAGTTTGGACAAGAACAGAATTCTGCTTGCTCAGGGTCCAGTGGCGGACGCCTGTAAATGCGATAATAAATCTTCGGTCTTTGGTTTCCAAAATAGGATGGGAATTTCGTGACCAGCTGAACAACTATTAGCTTTACAAGAACGACTATGCTTCATGAAATTGGTTAACTGGTTATTTTACACTTCCGTAATATTTGGCAGGAGCCGGTAACGTTAGTCGAGCGGTCTAAAGCATGCACTGTCTTCGCTTGCTCGGAAGCCGGGATCGTGGGTTCGAATCTTACTCAAGGAATGTATGTTCAGTATTTTGTGTGTGTGTGTGTGTGCGTGCATACGTGCGGTTTTCTGTGCTTATGTACAAGTAGAGACCTTGCAACGAGCTGATCATTCGCCCAAGGAGTCCTACCGAATGTCTAAGAGCCAGTAAACCGAAGTAAAACGGAGGATTTTATGGATGTAGCCCAAGGTCCAAATTGGGGCTGTGGCGCAAAAGGAAGAAAAATATATTACAGGAAACTGTCGTAGCCCACTTTAAGATATTGTGTCATTATTTGTCTTGAAGGATTGTAGAAATCCTGTGATATTTAACGAAGAAAATCAACGACATATTTACAAATATTGGAACTTTTAAATGATATCGCGAATTTCGAGTTTTTTTAAAGACGTTAAAATCTGACCAACGAGACGAGAAGATGAAATATTTCCTTATGCAGCTCCGAAAAGAACAAGGAATTTTTACGAGGATTTAATGTCGAATCATTGGAAGTCGCTCCCTCCAGTGTTTATAAAAATAATTGATTCAGTCATATGGCTTCATTGGAAAATCACAGGTTCTACAAACAAATCTTAGGGGCCTGATAGAAATAAAACGGCTTGGACCTCAACGTAAGAGACGTGGCCTTTTGAAGTCAGTGCAGTTCGTTTAAATTCTTGACAGTAAACCATTGGTTTTCTAAATGCAGGCATGGCCCATATGCATATTCTATTTAGACCACTAAACCAAAATATCTCAGATGTGTACAGTCCACAAGAACTCGCACCCGTAAGTTCGAGAGCGCTAGTCTATCTGATTGCTTGCGTAAGAGTGCGAGCACAGGCTCCCACAGCCCAACCTCTGAGATGTCAGCTGCATTGCCGACCCATATTTTTCTTATGGGAATGGACAGTGAACACCAGGTCAGAAGTATGCATCCTGCCTTAGTGTCACTAAATTGCGCGTTGATTCAGAAGTGACATAGATTAGGATGATTATTCTCTTGGAGGCCTACACAATCACACGTTTCTGTTTTAATTTTAATTTCTTTTTAACTTGGGGACACGCTGTAGCGTAGTTGGTTGAGGCACTGTGCTACAAGCCTGTAGGTCGTGAATTAGAATCCCGATGAGGTCACTAGATTTTAAAATGACCTAATTCTTCCAGCCGCACTATGGCCCTAGGGTTGACTCAGAATCTAACAGAAATGAGTACCATGAATCTTCCTGGGGGTAAAGGGCGGCCGGCGTGTAAGGCTGACCTCACAGCCATCTGTGAGCCGATTGTCTGGAAAATGTGGGAGCCTCGACGTCTTACAACCTTATGGGCCTTCACGGTTTTTTAAAGGATAGTTTTGTTTTTATTTTTAGTGGGGTGGGACTATGTTCCTTGTACTGCGGCCACTTCTGGCCTATTGTACCAGCCCTAGATGATAGGTGAGGGTGATTGTGGAGCAATTGGTGGAATGAAGATTGGCGGGGGAAACAAAAGTACGCGGAGAAAACCGGCACCAACCCCAGTTTGTCCACCACAAATCCCACTTGAGTAGACCCGGGCTCGAACCCGGGCCGCCGCGGTGGGAAGCCAGCGACTAACGGCTTGAGCTATGGCGCGGCCCAAAAGGATAGCTTTACTTTTTACTCTCTTACCTTTTCCGTTTTAACTCTGTAAAATCTGGCTCGAGTTGAAAATGTAGGGCTTCAGGAAGCTCTGGAAAGACTTCGTGACGCCTACTTCCCTCACAGTGCTGCTGCCTATGTGGCGAGACAAGAAACATGAGTAAATTACTAATTACACAAAGAAGTGATTCACTTACTTGCCTAATTTCCAGTCCTAGAGATTTCGTATATATTAAATTTTACTCATGCAATATCAACATTTCAGATCGTCGTCATGCTTGTAACTGTTAACGTAAAAACAATATCATCCAGAATTTGTAAGCATGTTTATTGTCCATACACAAAATTCTATGTTGCTTGCTCTAACAGTTCGTTAATTATCGCTTCCGAAAAGAAATGTATACACAAAAATCTTGTTTTATCCATGTTTTTATATATTTTACAAAAATTTACACAATAATAAAAGATATTCTCGACGATCTATTACCATGTAAAAGTGGGTAGGCCTTTGTTAAATGGCGCTGGTCTTACTTTCCGCCTCAGGAATTTGAATGATCTTCACATTGTGGTTATTGCTGATTGGAGATTATGAAGTTCAGAAAAGAGGTGATGATGGGTGAAAATTTTCAGTGAATTCATTAATTATTATGGGTGTCAGACGAACAGACAAAATTAACATGATTCTACAAGCATGTCTTCCCTTATAGAGCAAGGAATGTAGTCTAAGGGTGAAAACAATAAAAGTAATTCACGGGAAAGTACAGGCAGATGTTAGCATATGATGTTCCATGTTAGAACGCTATAATGTTTAATTTAAATTTATAGTTATGTGCAGTGTGATGCAAATAACCATTTGTCATGCTTATTAACAACAAATATGTTACAACTACTTGTTCGGATGTTTCAAGCTGGGAGCAGAGTAGAAACATCTGCGTTATTCACAACTTTAAAATTATCTTTCAACCAAGCAGGATGTATGCATTTAGCTGGTGCTCCAGTTGTCTGTGAGGCTATCCTCACTGACCCTTAGCCCAACAGGTACTCTCAACTGTTATGCACATCACTAAACACTGTGCCCACCTTGTAAGCATTTGCTGCTTTTGCCTTGCCTTTTCGTAGCTACAGTAGGTCTACACATTTAGAGAGATAACTAAAAGGCTCTTTCTGGAGCTTAGAATCCTCAGCTTCATATTATGGAAATCGTGAATTCGAATCTCAAGTATCCTTCCTGAGAAGTTTGCATGGTCCTTCTCAGTTTCTCCCTTAAAACTCTGCGATAACATCAGCAGATAAGACAGCTTCTTTCTACATCCTTTTAAATTCGTCCTTTATAACTGCTCTATAATTCGACGCTGTTTAGCGTATGACGTCAGTAAAATACCCCTCAATAAACAACAAAACGTCAGGTTATGGACGTATATGGTAAAAGTTAATAGAAAATAAATTTTCCCTGTGCTTAATTACGCACTATACCATGAAGGCTTATTGGGGAGTGGATGTATAGACCCAAATACTTTTGACCTCGACACTAGTTTGAGGTAAGTGGTCAGCTTCACGACCCGGACGCTTTACCCCCGGGGAATGGGGAAAGAGATCCCGGTACCCATTGTATAGGAGACTGGATGGACCCCAGAACCAGTCTGGGTGACACAGAGAAGAGAAAATCTTGCCCCTACTGGGACTCGAACTCCGACCCCTCAATCATCCAGCCCGTATCCAGTCGCTATACCGACTGTGCAGTGTGTTTTCCTTAAAACATTTCAGTGCGTCCGAACGATATAATTTTAGATACCACTGATCAGTTGGAGAAAGAACTAGTTGAGCGGCCTCCGTAGTCTAGAGGTAACGTTCCCACCTCATGACTCGTGGTACGCGGGTTCAAATACCCGGCGGAGGTCGTCGAATTTTTAAGGGCGGAAAAATTCAGGGAACAAGTCCTCCGGGAGGGACTTTAAGCTGTGTGTCCCGTGTCGTAACTTTACGGCACGTAAAAGAACCTCATATCTCCAAAGGAGATCACTGAGCCAAATTCCAGGACGTTTCCCGCCCAACAATAGTCTCTAAGGCCTCTGATAGATGGGGGAAGCATTATAGACACCGCCAAGCAAGTGTCCGAACTCGCTTGCTCGGCGGGACTGATGGTACGCACCATTATCAGTAAGGTATAGAAACTGGTAGAATATCATAGAGGGAATCACAATAGATCAAACTGGTCGCGGTGCATGGGAAAACCCACCCTCTCCAATAACTAACTAAGAACTAGTTGACTGTCCAACATGGCTACTGGGCTGTGTGTCACCATGTCTGTGTGCCTGTCACCAAGTCATTTCTATTTCCCATTTTAATATAGGCTGCTCCTTTCATAAGAGGCAATTCTTAATATTCAATAAATAAGTAAGTATGTATATAAAGACTTACATAGGCCTATATATGCATGTATGTATGTGTATGTGCGAAGTTTCTTGGCTGGCTTCTGCTTTTACGGAATCTGAAGGCACTCCACACTTTACCAATATATTTTTCAAAAGTCACTTTAATATTATCTCCTCAGATAAGCCCAAATCATTACTGTGTTATGAAGTACTCGTCATTATATCCTATCCATAGTCAGTTGAATCCTCCCCATTCCCTCTCACACTAACCTCTTTCTTAAGATCCTTTTTAATATTTGATACTTAACTCTCATGTATGCATGTATGTATGTGTATGTACGTAGTTTCTTGGCTGGCTCCTGCTTTTACGGAATCTGAAGGCACTCCACACTTTACCAATATATTTTTCAAAAGTCACTTTAATATTATCTCCTCAGATAAGCCCAAATCATTACTGTGTTATGAAGTACTCGTCATTATATCCTATCCATAGTCAGTTGAATCCTCCCCATTCCCTCTCACACTAACCTCTTTCTTAAGATCCTTTTTAATATTTGATACTTAACTCTCATGTATGCATGTATGTATGTGTATGTACGTAGTTTCTTGGCTGGCTCCTGCTTTTACGGAATCTGAAGGCACTCCACACTTTACCAATATATTTTTCAAAAGTCACTTTAATATTATCTCCTCAGATAAGCCCAAATCGTTACTGTGTTATGAAGTACTCGTCATTATATCCTATCCATAGTCAGTTGAATCCTCCCCATTCCCTCTCACACTAACCTCTTTCTTAAGATCCTTTTTAATATTTGATACTTAACTCTCATCTACAGATAGGTTTCGCCAAGTGTCCCCTTTCCTTTACTGCCCTCAACCAAACTGCATAGGCATTTCCCACCTCAGGCATGTCCAATCCATCTCATCCTCTCTCATTCAATTCTTTTCCCAATTGCTCTTCCAGCCCATTCAGGGCCCCGGCCTCTTATTCAGTTCCGTAATCATTTTAAGAGACGGTGGGAACCCTTGGACGAGCGATCAGCCCATCCCAAGGCCTCTAACTAAAAACAGGACAACACAAACACAGAATAAACGCACACACACCAAACATCCATGCCCTAAGTGTGATTCGAACCCACGATCCCAGCGTCCGAGCGAGCGAAGACAGTTCATGCGTTAGACCGCGCGGCAACTATGACCGGCCCTTCATTTAATGGCCCCATTAATGTTATGTGAAGAATAGAATTCGTGACACTCCTGATTATGAAGTACTTTCTGTCTCCTCTTTTGGGCCCACGTGTTATCCTAGGGGATCATTTCAGATACCCACTAAATCTACATTTTCCCTTGGGGTGAGATTTCGCACCCGTATGGGAAAGGTTGTTAAGCAACTAATAAATGAGACCTAAAAGTCTGTGACGATGGTAAATTGCTACAAGTAATATGCTTTTGGACATTATCCATTGTCTTGTTTATTTACAAATAACCGTCCTGTTTCTTTTTTTCAAAACACAACATTTCGGAGACTGGATTCTGTCCCCGTCCTCAGGTAAAACCTACTCATTTGGGTCCGATAGACAGAGCTAGCCCTTACCTCCGGATATATGGGGCTGTGTATTGGACCCAACTGAGTAGGTTTTACCTGAGGACGGGGACAGAATCCAGTCTCCGAAATGTTGTGTTTTGAAAAAAAGAAACAGGACGGTTTGTTTAAAGTAACCAAGGCGATGGATAATGTCAAAAAAAAATATTACCTTTAACTAATAAATGACTGAGCAACATTGCGTCCATTAACTTCAGTACAGAATCTAGTGAACTTACAGGAGTAATCACGTGACAGAATTACGTGCATGTTCTCCAGCTTCTGGCGAGTTTATTGGTTATTATGATATTCTCTCATGCAAGTCTCTCTCTTCCCACAAGCACCGTTATTTTAAAGCGATTCTCCCAGCATTCTCCACAGTTCTGCAACATCAATGTAACAAAAGGCACTGTAATATTGTCAATCCCTTAAGTCCAGCAAACCCATAAGGAAGGTAAAATTACGTGAATTTTTGTACATTATGTACAAGTTTAGATACTTTAAGTCACATATTTTGAATCAATTAAGGTGAAACTATTATTGTTTGTCTGAACGTAAACTTTAAGTACTCCGATATACAGAAGGATAATATATTATTTTGTTGTGGGTCTTTTGTTTGGATCATTGTACGTAACCACACAGTAACTATCTTGCTACATATGATTATATGACAATATCTGTCAGCCTTTCTTTCTGCTTCTATTCAATTGATGGAAACTGAAAAAAAAATGAGTGACATCCTGATGATATATACATGTAACTACATAACAATGCTCCTAAATTGTGAGACAATTGAAGCACAACAACCTCATATCCGCTGCAAGCCTACGTAATTTTCATTTCGTACAAAGGTTGTATTCTTTTTGTGGCTGACTGTTTATTATTCGCATCAGCGACTAGAACAATTCAGGTTTGGGGGGAGGGGGGATAGTATTACTTGCGTCATAAGACAGAATTGGTGATTTTCGTTACGGGTCTGTGGAATTTTCAGACGTATTATAAACAACGGTATTCGTTTCCACTTACATTGCTACTTCAATTACATCTGTTTGAAAGGGAAGGACTTTCCCGGAACGCTACTTTAAGATATTCCGTCATTTCACAGTTCTGCAAATAAGTTCAGCTGCTCTCTTGTGGACAGCGGAAGTGCCTGCATCAAAACTGAGCCAGGTTCGAAGCCCGACCACATCATAAGGTATTTACTTAAACAAATACTCTTGCAGATGGCGGAACGCGGTAGCGTAGTTGGTTGAGGCACTATGCTACAAGCCGGAAGGTCGCGGGTTCCTTTCCCACCGAGGTCACTGGATGTCTCAACTAACCCAAACCTTCCGGCCGCTGTATGGCCCTGTGGTCAACTCAGCCTCTAACAGAAATGAGCACTAGGAATCTTCCGGGGGCTAAAGGGTGGCCGGCGGCTAAGGCTGACACCCTAACAGCCATCTATTAACCGACTGTCTAGAAAATATGGGACCGCCGACGTCTCACTACCTTATGGGCTTCCACGGCCTGTTGCAAGGATAGCGTTACCTTGCCTTTTTTCACCTTAATACTATTGCAGATTTTCATTTTAGAAATGTTACCGTTTTACCTGTAATTTGTCCATTTACGCTTCTTAGAGTCTAACAATAATGTAACGCAATTTTGAATGAGCAAACCTGTTTGAAATAAATTATCCGTTGGCCAATATTGGAATTCAGCATAAAATGTAGCAAAATTGAAACTGAAGAAAGCAGAAAGACTGGTCTGCTTTTACCGGTTCTCACGGTCTCTTCGCTTGCAGATTTCTTATATTTTTTCTTCTACCCTGAAGATGGAGGCGATACGTTCCTCCGAAACGTCGGTTAACACCACATATACATGGTGCCAAATCCCAGAAGACTGCTTTCTTCATAGTCGCCGCCGTGAAAGCCTCAAATCTTACAAAATTGAAACTATTAGGAGTTCCGTCTTCCTGGATATAACGCCGCGTACTCCGTTGAAAGTCAACGGAAGTTTACTACCTGCTTCATGCTTGGTACTTTCTTGGTTTATTCTTCGACATTGAAGATGGAGGCGTATGTTCCTCCAAAATGTCGGTCGACTTTCGATGGACTACACTTCGTTATATCTTAAAAGATAGAACTCTTCATAATAACCGCTGTGAGAGGCTCAAATCCCACATATGCCTATTAGCTCCTCCGTTCTGTCGACATGGTCTGTCCTTCGGTCCGTCTCCGTGAAATAACTTTAGAACTGTAGAACGTATTTCCATAAAATTTAATATATTAGGGTTTTACTGAACCCTGTTCTCAAATTCCGGTTGTGGTTCAGTTCGGAAAATAATAAAGGACCCATTATGTGAATCCAGACACGAATTTCTGCACGCGTTTCAAGTATAATCTCCAAATGTTAAGAACAGAAGTTGCACAGAATACTGAAACATGCAATTTACATCCACTGCTTTTTTGCTGCAAGTCTTACAGTCTTCGTGATATTTAAACAAAAGAGGTTGGGTCCACCTGAATTGCTACACCATGCGTGCATTTCCAAACTTGTTATTACTGAGTTCAATTCTTGAACCTAAGACAGGAAGTAACAACAGAATGGCGAAAGCTACATACTTGGAGCTTCACTATTTGCATTGGGCCTACCCACACACTGTTGCTATGGATACTGAGCCGAAATTAGTGAGACTGGTAGAGCATTTTGGACGCACGGCGAAACAGAAATCGCGCAGTAATTGTCGCTCCGGTTCTGAAGTGGAGGTACTTCATGTGAGATAATAGTTGCGAGGAAAATAATTAAAGCTGTCTTAAGGAAATTATATTATGAATATATGAATTGAATTGCATTTGAATGGGGCTCAGTGACGTTGTATGGTAAATATAAATTGAAAAAAATCGATCCGAATTTTGTAACGGCTGAAAATGTCCAGGTAAGATGAACATTTCTAAGCAAATTCTGAAAGACGACCATGTGGTTTATTGCCGCTCCTGTCCCATAGAAATGAGTCCGTCGTTAACAAATAAATTACATTTAAACAATGTATATACGACACAATTACATCCTTTAATGTACTGTTATCAACATTCTTGTTTATCACCGAGGTTGTTTGTGTCCCTCAGCCATTTCCCTCTCTCCTTCAAAAAATAGTTTCTCTCTCTCTTGCTGCTGTTTAATCAGCTGCCTAAAGGTGATATATTTTGATAATACAGTCTTTTCTCTAATTCTAATTAGCACTTCAGCTGGAGCCTAGACCAATGATTTCAGCACCTTAGGGCTCCATTCTTTTGGTGAAAACGTCAGTTATCTGTCCACTACGCCTCTTCCAAAACACAATTTCGCGTTGTTTTATGAAAGTGCCATCTGTAGCCTTACTTCATCGCATTTCGAGTCTTTTTCGTATTTGGATTATAAAAGTAAAGCTGAAATTGTCCCTGGTCTGTTACGCAAAATGCCATGAAGGCGTGTGGAGGAGTAGAGGCATAAAGCCATAAATTCTTGACCTGTGCGCTGAATAGAGGAAGTGGTCAGTTTCACGCTCCGGTCACTTCACCTCCAGCGAAAGAACTTTCTGTGCCGTTTTGATTGAGTGTCTGGACGCCGTGGTGGAATAAGAATCCCTGTCCTTGCATGCATTCATTATGATTTGAGGTAGTCACGGCGAAATATGTTAAAATTATGGCTGCCTTGGTTGTGACTCCGTAAAGTCTTATCTGTGAATACCAGGAAGATGCTTCCTTCACCTTTATTGCTGAAGATGGAGACGGAACGCTTCTCTCAGTCGCTCAAGAAGCGCACAGGATATCTGGATCCAGAAGACCAATATAAAACTATGTTATCGTCTTAAGGTAAGAGACCAAGCTTCACATCCATATACAACAACAAATAGAAGTAAATTTTCATATATATTTAATCTTTATACTTTTCGCTACGAGGCAGGAATACAAGAAAAAAAAAACAATTTATTCGTGAGTGTGATTTTGATTTGTTACTACCGTTCTCAAGTATTGTAACTCAAGTGGATCTTATTAAATCGCACCTGTGCATGGATGTCATAGCATAAATTAACGACACACGTGGTCACTCGATAGATTTATTGCACCAGTTTTAGTCTGATGCAGAGAATGAAGTGTCAGCAATGCTCAGAGTGTTGCGTTCCTATGGACCTACCGCCACGGCCAAGAAGACAAGTTAATTGCTACCAGACTGACTGCCCGAGCACAGCACGTCACAGCATGTCCCACCGTCTTCGTGCAATAAGGATGTAACTCACTGCAGACGAAGAACATTCACCAAATTGCTTGACCCAAATGATGAAGACAGATCAGGGATACTTGTCTGCATACACGTTCGGTCATTTAAGGCATGAATAATTTTTTAACTTCAAATAATAGATTGATTTCTTGAATATAAGTACAATCTTTGTTTGCATAATATTCTTACGTCCAAAAATTCAGTATTTTTTCGAACAGTTAAAAGCGTACAATCTAATATGATATAATTTTACCCACAAGAGGCCTATGCTGATTATAGATGTGAAGAGAACACTAAAATTAATCAAATCATTTTAACATTCTCCTGCTGCTTCAAAGAAAATCATCTCTTTATTTTAAACGGGACTGAAACTTGGTCTCTTAACCGAAGAAAAGACCGACTGCGAACGTTTGAGAGAAAAGAGTTGCGGGGAATATCTGTCGTTATATGAGAGAACAGGAGGTTGGAGCAATCTGCATAATTAGAAGCATCACTCTTTATAATCTTTGCCTATAGTCATTCTTGTGTTTGAATCAAGGAAGGATAAATTCGTATAAAATATTTGATGGGAGAGTCTTTAGTTAAGAGACTTCTAGGAGGACTTAGGTGTAGACTGGAGGATAATATTAAAATGTATCTGAGAGAAACTGTGTGTTCTTTGTGTTGACTGCATTGAAGTGACTGAAGATATGGTCCCATAGCAGACTTCTGTGTGTACACGATATTGAACTTTCAGGTTTTATATTGTCACCTGTAGGGGAGGTGAATGCGTGCGTGACTTATAGACGGTTTTTGGATTGGATGATTGGATTTATTGACATTTTATTCACACATCTCGGAACTAGACGTAATACAGCACTATCGCTGATCTACACACTTTACAGTTCAGCGTTACACACGCGCTAGGGTTCCCAGTGTTCACTAGTAGTATCCTGGCAACGGATTTATGTCAGTCTCACTGTCACCGCAGCATACATGAAGTATTCTCTGCACAGTCTAATTCTTTTCTTGCCATTTCTTCTCAGTTATTCTGCCAACTGCCAACTCCGGAGACTCACTCAGTTCTCCTGCTGCGACTGCCAGTTATCTTCGCAGAGATCAACTCTCGACGAACTGCTCTCGTTTAACTCGACTCAGTTCAGTT